AATGTGGAGATTATTTGATAAACTTAGTTTGTTGAGTATAGGATTTAGCTGCTTCAAAAAGTATTTTTGAAACCAGATTTCTTAATCATTCTTCAAATAATGATTGCAGTGCCTCTATTTATGAATAAAAAGGACTTGTAATCCTTTAGGTGAGTGAACAGTGGTGGTTACATGATATTGTATTATTTGACCCTTCTGACTTGCTGGTAGTACAACGAATGTTGGAAATGTGATGACTGCCAACATTCACACATGAATGCTGAGAATCCTAGCTCAAGAACACAGGATATTTTCTCAAGGTATTGATTTACCTGGCTCTTTAAGCTACCTAACCTTATTCTGTTATCTTATTCTGAACAGTATCAGAAGTGGATAAAAGTTGTTAATTATATCTGTATCACTCTTTCCATAAGTTATTTATCAAAGTAATGTCCTCACATTCAGCATCAGCTCATTCTTTTCCTGTCTTTAGATCTGTAAGAATTATTTCAATGATACTTTGAAATAATGAAGCATGTATTTAGCAAAGATTAGTTAGAAGTTGTGTGTACAGAGACCAGAATGTTTACGCACATGCACGCTCACACACACATGCTATAAACACTTGTCATACTATTGAGTTACAATTAATTACAGAGTAAAATTTCAAAAGGAAGACTCATAAGCCCCAATCCAGCTAAAGAAATGCAAGCAAACAAGGTTCTGCATTTGTATTCCTAGCTGCATGAGAACTGTGTATGCAAGTAGGTACTGGACATGGGTTTTCCTTTTTCTACACACAAAGCTCTCTTCAAAAAGTTGCAGTTATATCTATTAATTATAGTGGGCAAGAAGCACAATTTTAATTCTGCCCTGCTTCACTGTGCCACTAAACAGCACATCAACATGATCACAGCATTCTGAAGGTTCCAAACACAAAAGGTGTTACATATGTGTCCAGTGAGATTGTAGCAACAGGCAACAGTTATGCTTAGTAACTGTTCCTGAACTATAAAATTTCAAACAGCAGGTTTATATTAAAAAGAAAACCAATTTCTTTTACATATATAATAATATGTCAGTGAGAAGGCTAGGCTTCAGCCACCCCCTGCATTTGCTAATCTTGTATGTATTTTTTACATGTAGTAAAGTACTAAAAATGAATAAAGCCTGCAAGAACTGCACCTCATACTTTTTCTGTTTGTGTACTTTGCTTCATAATATTGTACAGGTCAAAGGACACTCCTGGATCTTTTGCATTTTTTACTTTGATTTATGCTCTTTCCATTAAGAAATGGTGCTCACGGAGGCCAACAAGCATTATAGACAAAGCAAAACATAACTAAATTAAAGAATATTGCATTGCTCTTTATAACATTTTTAAAAATAACTTTTTCAACTTGGAAAATGTTTTGTTTATTAATGAAAAAGAATAAATATTATTCTAAAAATATAAACCAGGGATTTGTGAAGTTCTTAAAACAACTTTTGATGTTTTAAATAGAGAACTATTGTTTCCAATTAGGTTGAAGGAGATCATTATTGATAATAATGTTACATAATGTCAGTAAGAACTTTATGAACCAATGAAAATTCAGGACTTGGGCATATATAAACTTCTGTCCCATAAAACAGAAACCACTAGAGTTTAAATAAGGTTTTCTGTTAGTCCTTTTCTTTTTATCATTTATATTAATAATATGGTGAAGGAATTCTGCAATCCTGATTTCAGTGATGCCTCCACGCAGGTTCAGAATAATAAAGAACTGATCAATAATGTGTTGATAATACTCTATTATTCTGTTCTTGAAGTTTGTGTACAAATGCTGTAGAAAGTATTTTCAGTGTACTGTTCACAAGTACCATGTTATTATTCCAAAATGAAAGCGGTATATTTGTAAGAAATTAAAAATAAATTCATAAGGAATCAATCAATCAATCAATCAATTGCCATCAGATTTAAATAACTTGACACTCAATATTTTTAGAGTTCATTTCAGCTAAAGTAAGTAATTGAAAACTAATTTCTTTCCTTAAAACTGTCAGTTCAGGAGAAAAACGTTCTACCCTGAATACTGTATGCAGCAGAAATTAGAAGACATTAAGGCCTTGAAAATGTTTTCCTGAGCACCTTATTAGCCCACACACATTCACACGCACACGCCATACTTACTGGTTAGAATTTTGTTTTAGAAATAATTTTCAGTATTACAAGCAAAACACATATAATTGATATTTATGAAGTTTTCCTAACACTGTTACTACATTCCAATGCCTTCTACTCCATTCTCACAGTACATTGTCTTTATCTGGGGATCAGATGCATCACAGATACTTATGATGGTTTATTCAAGGACTGGAGACAGTATATAATTTTTAGGAAGACTAACATTCCGATAAATTCTGTTTCTTACAGAGTAAGCATTTTGTTCACATGGCTGCAACATCACTACAGTACGCTTTTACCATAGGAAAATACTCAGTTTTGACCATTTGGGAGGAAAAATCTGCTGAGTTGCTATGTCTGTAATCATCCTTGGATCTGAATGGGATAAACTTATATGCTCCTTTTCAGGACACAGTTTCTTATGCATTCCTTCTGATGTTGCTGACTGATCAGAGCAAGATAAAACAAAGTCCATCAGCTTCATTTCTCAAGAAGAGTGATAAATTATTACTAACACATCCTGAATAGCTTTTTTAAAACAGCGAACTCAAACTAATGTGCATGGTTGTGTTTAACAAAGAGCTGATTTTCCTGTTATTATTGACTAGCTAAATAAAAACTAATATAAAATTATTTAAATTGATTTCATAGATCTAGTATCCAATTGCAGTCACAAAAATGAAAGAGCCTTACTCTTTTACAGTTGTTCCTTTGCAAGTAATTCTACCCACTTCTCCAACCAGTTATGAATTTAGGGACAGTACCTTTGTAATATAAAGCCATTAATAGGTCTGCTGCAGAAATGGATATTCACATAAATACCAAAAAATATATTAGTTTAACAGAAAGCCTAGCAAACCTACATTATACTACTACTTTCATGAACTGCTTCATTATCTATTTATTATTACAAGCTCTTTGTGAATCCTAAACAGATCTTAAACTATTAATGTTCAACACTTTATTGCAATATCTTTGTTTGTAATCACATAATATAACAAAGTTGTAAGCACTGTGTCTATTTCAGTAAGGACACAGACCAAAATAAAAACAAAAATTACTTTAACTTACAAGTATCAATATCTTATTTGTAAGCCGCCCCGAGGCTTCGGCAAGGGGCGGCATAGAAATGTTATAATAATAATAATAATAATAATAATAATAATAATAATAATTTGTTAATAAACACTACTTGAGTTATTGATGCTTGGTCTTTCCCACTACAAAGTTTAGAAAAATATACTTTTTAAAACCCTTCCAAAACAACAATTTTCAGTCTAAATTACATCTGAATTGGAGTGGTGGCAGTATTTGTATGTCTTGGAACAGACAATGAGTTTTAATTATATTTATGGGAGGATAAATGATTGGGAAGTTCTCCCACAGTGCAGTATCATGACACTGCTGAGCTTTGCAGGTACATGCAAAGCTTCCTACTCATCTAGTAGTCCTGAGCCTCAGCTGTCTAGTCCTGTATCCTAATTGTCTTTAAACACTGACTGCCGACATCCGGGGTTAGATAAGCAGGCCGCTACACAAATCTTAGTGATACAGCAAGGGAAGGGATTGTTTTCTAGCCTACTCTCTATGCTGTTTGGAAGCATGGAACAAAACAATTTGGCATTCAGAAATTTGGCCTCACAATGCATATTTCCAGGTTTATTTCCACTTCCAGAGTGTTATTGGATTTTGCCCCTCCCCCTGCTGAAAGAAACCTTGGGTGGCTTTCCCTCAAATCACATAAATCCTCCTCCCTGCCCTCCCTTAATTTCTAAAATCTCAGAGCCCAGAGGAAGCCAGGAGGGGGGAAAGTCACATTAGAGTTGCATGATGTGTTTTGTGATTTACACATCCTGTTAATCTAATCTACCTTTCCAATACACTATAAACTGGGCATGAGTAGGCCAACCTCTCCCCTTATGTTAGCCACTGCTAACATTTCATGATCACTGAAAACAATGAGCACCCTGAGCCACTTTGGTTTCTTTTTCCATTTTCCTTTATAAAAGCAAATATTGATGAATAATTTTTTCTTCCTAAGTTATCTATGCTATTCCCATTTCAATGCCAGGCTACCAGGTTTAGGACCACCAATTTCATTCTCTGTGTATGATTTTGTTATTCCTATGAATACACACATTAACTATGTTTCCTTGAATACCAGAAAGTATGTTACAAACAGTGAACACTGTAGAGCTAAATAAGCAATTTAAAGAGTCCAGAAGGCATGAGCCACTGTGGAGTACCTGCTTCCACTGTGCCAGGTATGCTGACTATTTTGTTACAGTGTGTGTGACGGGGAGGGGGGATATAACCAAGTGAAATGCAGAGGTACCGTCTGAGAGAAAAGTCATGGTGAAAAGAATGCCTGGGAATGGGTCCCTCGAAATCAAGTGGGTGCTGTTAGCACAGGTGGATGAAGCGTGACCTGGAAATGAACGTCTGAATGAGGGTCTGAGAGGAGGGCCCTCCACGCCCCCATCTGCACCCCACCCCCAGTACGCTCAAAGCACTGTTCCGACGGCCAAGAGCTGGGGGAGGCCAGAGAAAGAAACACCGGAGGGCGCAGGTGAGGGTCTTTTGCTGGCTGAATGCCCGTCCAGCCAGGCGCTGCTCATTGACAAGATGACGAAGGCGGCGAGAGGAAGCCGGAGCGTCTCCGTCAGAAAACCCAATCTCCAAAGGGGGGCGGAAGAAGGGAAAGTGGGCGTGCGACTAGTGACTCGGGATTCTGCGCCTGGGAATCCATTTCCCATAAGCCAGAGGCGGCGGCCACCAAGTCTCGCCCTTTTCTCCTCGCACAGAATACCCGTGCGGCTCTCCGGCCCCTCTCCGCCCTCGACGCCCCACTCACCCTCCGCCCTGAACCGCAGCTCCGACACGGTTTTCTGCACCGCGGGCATATCGCCTCAGCCGCCGGGGGACGGCCGGCAGCGGGCGAATCCACCTGCGCCTTGTCGCCGCCGCCGCCGCCTTCTCCTGCTTCGCCTCCGATGCCGCCCAGACGAAGCGTCGCTGCTCAACCCCGAGCCGGCTGCGCCGCACGACTCCCCGCCGCGCGCAGCTCTTCCCCGCCCTGTCCTGCGCCCCCTCGGAAAGAGAAAGGCAGGCGGCAAAACACTTCGGGGCGGGAAAGAAGCAACAGCCGGGGGAAGTCGCTCCCGAGAGACACTGCTGCAGACGCGAGACCTCCAGCTCGCGAGCCGGGCGCGCGGCTGCCTTTCCTGCTCCCGCCGCTTGGGCCAACTGACGGGCGGCGCGCGAGCGCTTAGCCTTGTGACTCGCGCGCTCCGCCGCTCCTCCCTCGCCCTCCCTCCCTCCCTCACAGCCCCCACCTCAGCCACCCTGGAGCGTACCAACTGAATCCTCCTCGAAACACCGCAGTCCTCGCCAGGCACCTGTTCTTCTCAGACCGCCCCGCCCCACCAGCCCTGAGTCCTTTCTGGAGCTCCTTTCCCCCCCTTTTTTAACTGGGGAATACAGTCAATGAAATGGACGGGCTGTCTTTTCACATAACTTTTGTATCCTCTTCCCAGCCGCAAACGTTGTCTTTTCTATCTGGAAAATAATGGAACAGCCCACGTTCTGGGCGGGCATTGCCTCACAGTAGGAGAAAGAAAAAGGAATTGTCTTGAATCAGGCGGGGCGGGGGAAGGAGGGAGAGACAGGCGGGGGCTGCGTGCCATGCATGCGGGTTGCAGCTAGTGCTGCTGGCCAAGCTCTCCATGGGGCGGCCCCAGGCGCATTTGGTGTGGCAGAGAGTTTGTGGGCGACGGCCGCTTTCATGCAGCTATGTTGCCTCACAGATCTTCGCACTTGAGCACAAGTCTAGCCCATTTCCTGACACTGCGGCTTTGTACCTGTAGCTCTACAGAAAGGGCTTCCCCTAGGGTAGTTGTCTGCTTGCTGCTGAAACGCAAGCCGGCGTTTAATCCACTTTCACGCATTTGATGACAAGAAAATGAAGAAGCAAACAAATCGTTCAGTCAATAGCCTGTCATTTGCAATTCCTGCTGCTGGCGTCCTTCCAGTCAGGTCCAAATTTCTTCCTCGGATAGTTACAGACGGAAAGTGCAAGATACAGATCATTCAGCAGCACCGTTACTGCGCTTTACAGCGTGTCATAAGTAAAACGAGAACCAAACGGTACCCCTGCCCCAAGAAGCTTACAATCTCCATGTTGATTGGAGGCAGTACAATACGGCTTTTGGTCAAAACGAGAGCCTTCATTAACTGGTAATACTGCACCATCCTTACTGAGCAGTGGAGCTGTTTCCTTCTGTCATCAGACATGCTCCAACAGCCCCTTTTTGTTTGTTTTAGGATATTTCACCATCAGAGCAACTCGTGTGTATATTCTTACATATACAGTTCTTACGACCCATTTTCCTTCCGTTATCTTCTTCCTTCTCCTTTTAAAAAATGTTCTTTTTATTTTCAGCTCTTCATTAAACGTTTTGTGCACTGTTTTTGTCACTATTGATTTTAGATACGGCTGTATTTAATATATCTCCCATGTTTTTTCTCATTAGAACTGCTTATTATACTACTTTTAGAAATCTGCTCTTCAGGAACTGTTACATCTCCTGTACAATTTTTCCTTTCAGCTTATCTAGCCAAATCTCATTTTTTTTCTCCATATCTGGGTATTTCATGAAGCTATTTTCACAGCTTAGTCATTAGTAGTTATTAGCTCTTGCTACAGCCTCCTATCAAAAGGATCAGTTGTATACATTGTGTGAAAGGGTTTCCTTCTGTTTATATGAAACTAATTCATACAGTGATGGTTATTCTCTGAAAGCAGTTTTGTATCCTTGATCCCCAGGTTCTTTTTCTCTCACCCTGCTTCTGGATACACAAGCTCTGATTAATGGAACCACAGTGGGCTTCCTTGCTGTGCTAGTGAATCCAGCAGAGGGAGTGGGTGAGAACTTCTTGTGTTTTCATTCCTAGAGCAATCTCCAGGTGTATTAAAGGCAAGTTTCATTAAAACAAGCCAACATAATTCAATGTAATCATTATGAATTATGCACAAACAAGTTAGTGCTCTTACTGTTGGGGTGCACCAGATTCAGATGGTTGTCACTGATAGCTATCATCTTCCCCACCCCCCACCCCCCACTCTTGCACAATGTCTTTGGAACTGAAGAGCTGAACCTCTTTTAAGGGCCAAATTCCTTCTTGGAGAAGCTTTCAGGGACTGCATTCCAGTGCTGTGCAGAGCAAAAGGCAAACTAGGGCCAGCCTTCCCATAACCAAAGCTCTCAGTAAGGCTTTGTGTGGGAAATGGTACCCCACCAAATTGTAGTTTTGTCATTGCCTACAGCAATGGAACAAATTTAAGAGTTGTTGTTGTAGTTGTTAAGACAATGCCACTGCTTGCTTTCCTGGTAAACTCCACCACCCCAAATTTCAAGCTTCTGAACTTTCTTCCTCTCAAGAAACTGTACTGAGCCTACACATTGTTCCTTAACAGCACCCTTACTATTTAGGGCACCAGGTAATCTTGCCCTGTCCTGCAGTGCCTGTAAAGCAAGGCTTGGCAACATCCAGTTATATCAAACAACATGTTCCGTAATCCCTGAGCACTGGTCATGCTGGCAGGGCTTTATGGGAATTGTAGTTCAAAACATCTGGATGTTACCAGATTGCTTACCCCAGTGATAAGCTGTAAGGGACTTCAGCAGGCCAACTGACATTCAACATCCTGTGACCCTCCAGAGCACTGAGCATGCTCAATCCTCCTTAGGTTGTTTTTGGAAACAGGTTGCCTGCTCTGGGGCTTTAATTTCATTGCTGTTGTTGCATTTTTGCATATCTTGGCAGAGCATATTGTATTTTTAATGTGCTGTTGTGAACCACCCAGAAATTAATTAAATAACTCCACTTCATTTCTCAGCAGCCCCATTTTGGCTCTATTATGGTGGGCACTAGAACACCTGAGTTTGGTAGCATAAGGGATGCTAGTTACAGCCAGTCATTCCAATCCAGTGATCTGTTCCAGGCAGAAAAGCAGCAATCCACACACTGAAATTTCTTTCTTTTTTTTAATGGTATTATCAGAACTGAACATGTACTCCAGGAATTAACACACATGCCATCTGTATTCTATCAATTTATCTTCTGAACTATTCTTTGCCTGTTTATTAATATTTAGTGTGTAGCCACCAAAATTATTCCATATTTTCTTCTGAGGAATATTCAATAAGTTAAGTCTAGAATTTTCCAATATACACAAACTTTTATCCACATTTAACATTTCATATTATTCAATTGTGTTAAAGAAGGGAGAAAATGTTTGAAATAGAGATTATTTTTAATTCCTTGATGGCAACTAATTGGAAGAAATGCATTGGCCATTCACTGATTGTTTTGTTTTATGGAATTTGGAAAGTTATGTTTCTATGTGCTTTAATATTAAGACAATAAAAATATTCAAAGGTTTGAAAATCAATTAATCAAGGAGAATTTTTGTTATACTGATAAATTCTAGGTGGTATTTTGCCTTGTTCTTTGTTTCCATTGGTATTAACACATATGAGAAAAGGGATTTATTGTTTATTCTGCATCACTATTCTTAGATTCAGTTGCAGAATTGAACTTTATTCGTGTTCTATTCCAGCTCATTTGCAAGGTGAGGGGCCTGTTATCCTCTAGTTGTTGTTTGACTACAGCTGCCATTATTCTTGATCACTGACAATGCTGGCTGGTGCTAGCAGAACTGGAGTTCAGCAACATATGGAAGGGCACAGCTTCCCCACCCCTAAATGTTAAACAGTGCTTATCAATAGGCGGGTTCCTAGAGAAGGCCATGGCACTGACAATTCTATGACAAATACTTTTTCTAGCACTCAGCTCCATGGGCTTGTAACAGCAGCATGTTCTAAAAGACAACAATAAAAGAAGCGGGATTATGACACATTCATCTTAAGCCTGCTAATATTTTATTTATACATATGTGTTTGAGAGAGTGCATGCTTAGATGGAGATAGGAACATTAGGACTGAATACACACCCGCACTGACCAAAAACACGATCATATTTCTAGCATGAATATAGCAAGAGTCATAATTACATTCTAAGTTAATCTTGCCTAAATGTAACAATATAGAAGAATGTATAGTTGTCATTAAGTCACAACTAGCTTCTACTGTAACTAGTGAATCAGGTAGTCATGGTTTAATAGGACAAACAAAGAGAGCTGTCCTATCCATGTTTACTCAGAAGTAAATATCACTGTGTTCATTGCTGCTTGCTCCCAGATAGGAATGCATACGATTGTATTCTAAGTCATAACGAACTTTACTGAATTAGAGGCACACTATTGCAAACAAGAAACTCCAGTGAACCATACTTTAGAACCCCCACCCCCAAGCAAATAAGAGAAGCACACATTACATTTATTTTGACAATCAGTTTATTTTCATTTCAGCAAATTTTCAAATGATTCCTGAACCCTGCTCAGCCCAGAGAAGGCCTTTAAACTATTATTTTCAGCGCATTTGTGGAAATGGCTTTCTTCAGCACCTTTTCCACCCTAACTTTTCAAACTGTTAGCTTAAAAAAAACAACAGACTGTCACAGCTTGACAAATCCACATCAGTTATGAAATCAAGAACACTCCCCACCTCCTGTGGATGGATAAAAAATAAGGATCAAACCATGAGTTATTCTAGGAAGAAGCATCAGCATTTCAGTTTCTGTCTTATTTTGACACTAGTGCTGACAATTTGCACAATGGGTAGCGGGCAAAAAAACATATTCACAATGTCATAGTGGTAAAATTAAACTTTTCTAATTTAAGCAAGGGTGGCTGAAATAATTTCTTTAATGCTTGATGCATTTTTTAATACTGCAGGACTGTGGTGTTTAGCAGTTAAACCAGTAAGACACAGAGTGTATTGACAGCCTCTCTGAAAATAGGTAAATTAAACATATAAAACATCTATTATTCCAGAGAGTATGATTGCCATATCAGACATGCCCTACAAAACCTAATACATTAAACCTTAAAATAAACCTTAAACCTTCAGAAATGAATCTTTTAAATAAATGTCTTGTTTATTTAGTATATTCTTTTTGATTGGTGAATCTTAATACATGTAAGCTTTCTTTCCTCATAATCAGTTAAGTAAATTGATCTTGTTGTCAGAGGTGAAAGATTACTTTGAGGATGGTTTTGGAAGTGTGGG